GTGTGTGTGTGTGTGTGTGTGTGTGTATGTGTAGTCGTCCTTCTTCCTGCAGCTTCTCCCCTCCAGGTAACCTGTCAGGCTGTCGTGTGTGTGTGTGTGTGTGTGTGTGTGTATGTGGTCGTCATTCCTCCTGCAGCTTCTCCCCTCCAGGTAACCTGTCAGGCTGTCGGGGTGTGTGTGTGTGTGTGTGTGTGTGTGGTCATTCTTCCTGCAGCTTCTCCCCTCCAGGTAACCTGTCAGGCTGTTGGGTGAGTGTGGGGGGTGTGTGTAGTCGTCATTCTTCCTGCAGCTTCTCCCCTCCAGGTAACCTGTCAGGCTGTCGGGGGTGTGTGTGTGTGTGGTCGTCATTCTTCCTGCAGCTTCTGCTCTCCTGCACTAGTCGGCACAGATTGTACTCAGCTTGCTGCACAGCAAGTGTCCAGGAGCTTCCTTTCAGTGTGAAATTTGCTTCACTGCTCTTCTTTGTTGGAGCGCCTGTCTTCCTTGCTTTGTTTTATTTACTCGTTTTAATGAAGCAGTACATGAATAGATGACAGAAAACAGCACCTGGGAGATACGTTTTAAATTTTTCCCATATGTATTTATTCTGCTCTCCTATCTGACTGACAGTTTGTTTGGTTTGAGATTTCTAATTCAGAAGTTGTATAAACTGTGTTTCTTTAGGATTTTGTAAGTGCTGCTCCATTATCTTTCAAACTTCAATGTTATTATTAATAAGGCTGATAAGAATAGCCAGCATTTATTGAACATTTACTGTGTAATGCTTTGATTGTAAGATGGCTTTAGAGAGTCAGAGAGTATAGATTCTCAATCTGGAGTGTCTGCGTTTCCTCTCTTCTGTATTTTCTTCTTTCAGCTGAAATTTCCCATCATTTTTATTCATTGAAAGTAATTTTTCTCCATCTCACTGAGGTAAATGTATAATGATAATAAATCCTTTGGAGCTCTAGTGGCCTAGAGGCAAGAAGCTGTACTGCAATCCCAAAGGTGCACAGTTTGAATCCAGCAGATGCTCTGCTGGAAAAGGGGGGGGCAGTCTTCTCCTGTGCCAGTTGGATCCAATTCAGTGATACACAACAAAATTTTTTAAAAATTTAAGAAATATAATAAATCCTTGTTTGAGAATCCCGTAAGTAGACATGTATTGATTGTCCTTGCCTTTGAGAAAAGGGTCACATTTTCTTGTTGCTTCCTATGTCAGGTAATCTCTGACTGTATCCTAGACATTATGATGTTATAGTGTAGAAATTGAATTGCTTTAGCAAGCAATCCATTTCATTTAGTTAATCTCAACCTTCAAATTGTCACTTTTACAGTGAGCAATCACTCATAGGTCAGTTCTGCTTTCAGTTTGTGATTCCAGGGTCAGCCAGGTAGGGATCTGAATTGAGGTTAAGCATAGAATTTGGAGTATCTTCACTTGTTCTCTTTCTGGGATTCATTTATACTGTTGGATAACCTGGTTATTCTTGCTGGAAGGATGGTGAGCTTTCTATTAGAATTTGGGTGTCTTCCCTCCACCCTGAACTGTGGCCATTTTCAGGGCACAAAGAAGAAAGCACCAAGACAGAGTAGGGAGAAACTAACTCCCTGCTGTTTCTTCTAATTTTTAAATCTTCACTATAACCTGTCTGCTTTTTTTACGTCTACTTGCCTCTCAGGAGACCCACCCTCTCTCTTTGTGCAGAGTTTATTGTTGTTATTTGTAGAAGAATTGATCAAGAGGCAGTTATTGGCTCTGGAGGTGGACTCCACGTATTGTGGGTTCAAATCCCAGTTTGCACTTATTAGTTGTGTGTCTTGATGAATTACTGGACATGTTATGTAGCATCATTGCATTTTTTTTAATGTCAGATTGGGATATTAAATTTTATACTGTGCTGAGATAAAAAATTAAATAGTTCAGAACTGTTAAGATAATTTTTATTTTATTGCCTCCTACTAATAAATGCTATTTTGTTTTCAAATTTTAAAAATATTTTTGTTTTGATTCTCTTTTTCCTTGTCCCCATCGATGCACTTACTCCCCTTTCTAGAAGCTTTTGGAAGGTTTCTTTTTGCTATTTAGAAACTTCTTGATAGTTTTTTATTTGGGTACTTTTCCTTCACTGTGCTGAGTACTCAGCTGGCCCTTTTGGTCTGAGAATGCAGGCTGCATTTATTTACTTCCACACTTTATTTTTCTCCTGTTGTTGCCTGTTGTTATTAGGTTCCATTGAATTGGTTTCAACTCAGAGCAATCCTATGCATAACCACCATCCGGTCCTGCACCAGCCTAACAATAGTTACTGTACTTGAACCCTTTGAGTAGCTGCTGTGTCCATCCATCTCATTGAAGGTCTTCATCTGTTTCACTACCAAGCATGATGTCCTTCTCCAAGGACTGGTCCCCTTCTGATGACGTGACCAAGTACATAGGTGAAGTCTCACCATCCTTGCTTCTGAGGAACATTCTGGCCAGACTTCTTCCAAAACTAGCTCATATTCTTCTTCCTTTTTCTTGCTATGTACTGTCAAATCAGATCTGACTGGCACAGGAGGAGATTGCCCCTCCTCCAGTGGAACATCTGGTAGATTTGAACCGCACACCTTGGGGATTGCAGCACAGCTTCTTACCACTAGGCCACCGGAGCTCCCTTAGTTCATAATCTTTATGAACACCATCATTCAGATACCTTAGTTCTTATCTTCCTTATTCATTGTCCAATTTTCTCATGCATATGAGGCTACTGAAATGTATATTGTTATTAGGTGCCATCAAGTCAACTACAAATCATAGCAACCCTTTGGAAAACAGATCAGAACCTTGCTCTACACTACACTGTGCTAACATGCTTGAGCCCATTGTTATGGTCATTGTGTCAGCCCATTTCTTTAAGAAAAGAACTCTTTCTCTGACCTTGTATCTTTCTCAGCATGGTATCTTGTTCTAAGGGCTAGCCTCTCCTGACAGCATGCCTAAAGAATGTAAGGTTAGTTTCACCACCCTTGCCTCTAAGACAAACCTAGTTGCAGTTTGTTCAAGACAGACTTACTTGTTCTTTTGACAGCCTGTAGGGAATTTGATACCTTTGTCCAGCACCACAATTCAAAGACATCTTCTAAATCTGGCTTGAATGTCTATCAGTTTCCTGTTGATATACTGTTGTAGTCTTTTACAGAAATATTTTACTTGCATGTGATGATATTGTTTGAGTAGTTCCTTACTCTGTTGGTTTTTGGGGTTTTTTTTGTTTGGAATGGGAACAAATATGAATTTCTTCCAGTCAGTTGGCCAGATGGCTTGTCTTTCAAATTTCTTGACCTAGGCTAGCGAGCATGTCCAGGGCTGCATCTGTTTATTGAAGCACTTGTGTTGGTAATCCATAAGTTTCTGGGGCCAGATTTATTTGCCAGTGCTTTCAATGCGGCTTGACATTATTTTTTGGTTACTATTGGTTTTTGATCGTGTGATCCTCCCTGAAATGTCTCAGTGCTGACCAGTTCTTTTAGGTGCAATGACTTTTATGTGTTTCTTCATCTTGTTTAGGTACTTCCTGCATCATTCAGTATTTTGGTCCATATAGGTTGATTTTTCTCTCTGACACACCCATTCACCCATACACTCACTTACACACAGGGCTAGTAATTTATTGTGGTTTAGGCAATAGTTGACAATATTAATTTTTATTCAATAATTTTTTTTTCCTTTTGCAACATTACTTGCACTCCCTTCAGCATAATGGCACCCTTCCATTTGTCCTTTTGGCCCCTTCCTGCATTGAGCTGTGTTTTATTGGTCTATCATTTGCCTAAAATATCGCCAGAGGTGGGTTCATTTCCAGGTTTGAAAGGTATCTGAGAGTACAGACACAGGGGTCCTACCAGCCTCTATTATATGTCTGATTTTTTCTATAATACCAGTATGTCTGGGTTTTTTTTCTGTTTTATTCTACATTTTTTTCCCCTACTGTGTTCAGGACCTTTTGTTGTGATCTCATTCAGAGCAGTGGATTATGATAGCTGAGTACAATCTAGTTCTGGTCTCAAGCTAGTAGATTCTGGGATTCACAAATGCCAGTATTTCTTAGGAGTAATTACTTTTTTCTTGAGTCTTTAATTTTCTTCACTTTGTTTTGGTCCACATTGGGGAGGAAGAGAGAAACCAGTTCTTGCATCTTAGATGGCGGAAGTACATATAAGATAGCTTCATGTGCTGCAGTCCTGAAGCTGTCCAGTTCGAATTCACGAGATGCACTACTGGAGAACGAGGAACATTCTCCTCCTGTACCAGTTGGATCCGATTCGACGGTACACAAGAAAAAAAAAAAAAAGAGAGATAGCTCCAAGGAACTGTACTGTTCCACTCTACAAGAGATCACAATAGCAGATCTTGGATGTTGTTGTTGTTATGTGCTGTTGAGTCACATGACTCATAGTGACCTTGTGTACAATAGCCCTGAAACCTGCTTGCCAACCTTATTGTCTCTGACACACCTTTCTTCATTACTCCAGTCTCTGAATCAATACATCTCATCTAGGTTCTTTCTCTCTTGTGCTGTCCCTCCTCCCTTCCAAGCAGGATGTCTCTCTCCAAGGACTAATCCCTCCTTGCCACATGCCCAAAGTATGTAAGACAAAGCCTCAGATTCCTTGCCTCCAAGAAGCAGCCTGGTTTCACCCTCTCCAGGATGAACCTGTTTGTTCTCGTAGCATTCCATGGGATAGTCCATGTGCCATCTAGTTGCTTGCGACTCATAGTGACCCTATATACAACAGCCCTAAACCCTGCTCTGTCCTGTGCCAATCACACTGCCTCTGACACACCCATCCCAATTACCCCAGTCACTGAATCAATCCACCTTATAGAGGGTCTTCCCCTCCTGTGCTGTCCCTCCACCCTCCCAAGCATGATGTCCCTCTCTAAGGACCTGTCCCTCCTTGTAACGTGTCCAGAGTATGTCATATGAAACCCCAGAATCCTTGCCTCCAAGGAGCAGCCTGGTTTAACCCTCTCTAGGATGAATCTGTTTATTTTCTTGGCAGTCCATGGTACATTCAATACTCTTCTCCAGCACCACAGCTCAAAGGCATCAATTCTTCTATCCTTCCTAGTCATTGTCTATCATAGAGGAGGAGAATAATGTGGAGTGGACCTCAAAATTATAAAACTAGCTTGGCTTGCTGGTCTAGTAGAGACTGGTGGAACCTCAAAGACTGTATCCTTTAATCACCCTTTGAACATAGAACTGAACTCACTTTCAGCCAAGCAATAGACCTACAAGGTGAACAGTGATACCAGGGAGATACTTACTGTACAAGATCAAAAGGACAGCATTTGCCCAGGGATGAAGATCAGAAGGCAGGACGAGATAGAAAGGAAGGAGATTGTTGTTAGGTGATGACTCATAGTGACCCTATAAACAACAGATCTGAACCCTGTCCTATTCTGTGCCAAATGAGTCTCCTATTTATTGTTGAGCCTTCTAACTAGCTTGTAACAGTTCACTATTATAAGTGGAAATGCTATAAATATCCTTGTAGTCTATCTTTGCTCATATTTTTATTTATTTTGTAGGATTAATTCCTGGAAATTATATCCTTCTGAGTGAAAGACAATACTTTTTTTTTCTTATTGTGTACCATTGAGTCAGATCCGACTGGCACGGGAGATTGCCCCTCCTTCTCTAGTGGAGCATCTGGTGGATTTGAACCATGTGCCTTTGGGATTACGATGTGGCTTCTGGCCACTAGGCCATCAGAGCTCCTGATACATATTTTTATAACCGGAAAATATGCTTTTAATATAGACCCTAACCCTACATTATAATAAGTTATATTTTATTTTTTAAAGATATTTTCTTTTTATGTTTAAATTATCATAAAGATAGTTCTGTTCATTATGCTTTTTCTTTAAAGTTTAATTGCTTTTCTGTTGTTGAGGAGAAAACAAAATGTACAACAATTCAACAGATTTTATATATATATCTTTCAGTGACATTGGTTAATTACATTGTTGTATAACCATTCTCAGTCTCTTTTTCTCTCTCAAATGAACACAAACTCACGGCTTTCTTAGATTTCTAGCTAATCTTTTGAGTTGTGACTATCAATTTGATTTCACATAGATAATTCTTAAAGAGTATAGTGGCCTTGTGTAACAATGAAAGGATATTTTTAAAGAGAAAAGTGAACTGGTGGGGGTCGGGAGGAAAATGTGCAACAATGAATGAATGGAAATCCAAGTTTTCTGTAAACTTTTGTTAAAATATCAATTAAAAAACAAACAAACAAAAAGTATAATGGTCAAGGGAGACATTTTTATTGTTGGATTTGTAGAAGACTTGAGGGGATATTTGGTTTAAAGTTTAAAAATTAGCTCCGGGCAATACTTCCAGTAGTTCATCCACCCTCTGTGGCTCCTTGAAGTTTAGAGTCCATGAGCATTTACAAGTCTATTCTGAATTTCCCCCTTTTGTCAGGATTCTTCAATAGAATTTTTTATCAAAATGTTCAGTAATGGTAGCCAGGCACCATCCAGTTTTGGTGTCATTGCAATGGATGTTATAAAAGTTTTGGAAATAGAACTAAAAAGGAAAAAAATATAAGAAGACGTGCATGCAAAGGTAACTGGATTAACAATTATTTGTATTTTTTAACTTGATGATGATCACATTTTCCCCAAAGAATAATAATTTGAAGAGCTTTATTTTTTACATAAATTTCCTGAGTTTCTCTTCTTTAGAGGGAAAAGACAACTCTGAAGTTAGGTTTTTTAAAAGTTAACCTCTTTTCCCTTCAGAGTCTGACGACCCGTCTCAGGGAGCTGGCTGTGGTAGTAAGGATAGCTCTGCACTGTGTGCTTCCACTCAGCACCCTGCTCATTAGTTGAGAACCATTGCTCAACCTGATTTTCTCATCCTTCTCGTAGGTGTCAGAACTGGGAAGGTGGAATTGGCGGGGTGCCGGGGATGGAAGCCCACGGTGGCTATACTTTCTGTGGCCTGGCTGCGCTGGTTATCCTTAAGAAGGAGCGTTCCTTGAACCTGAAGAGTTTATTAGTAAGTGTCTGTTAATCTGTGTTCCTCTCGAGCAGGAAGCCTGCTCGCCCTTCTCATAGCCAAACACTCTACTTTGAGTCTCAATACAGTGGTGGTTCTTTGGGAGAAGAGCTGGATTTGATTACTGGCCGGGACACCTCATGTCCAGTCATCATTCATCTGTCACTGGAGGCGTCTGTGTTACGATGCTAAACACGGTTTCAATGGAATCTCCCGACAAAGACAGACTAGAAGGGAAAGCCAGTCATCTATTTCTGAAAGTCAGGCTATGAATCCTGACGATCCAGTCTCATTGTATACAAAATCACAATGAGCTGTAGCTCATTTGACAGCAAATAACATATCGTAACAGCAGTATTCCAGATTTGAACCCTGCTTCTATATCTTCCTAGCTATGGTATCATCATTCTATCTTGGGCAAACACTTAATTTTTTATTTCAAATTCCCTTTCTTTATAAAGTATGAATACTTTTTTCTTTGAAGATTACATGAGAGAACATACAAAACCAACTTTGTCCATTATGGTACCCAGTAACCATTAGTGTCCTCTTAGCCAGGCTAGTCCTTCTCTCCATTTGCTTTGGTGGACCCTTTTCACAGGGCTCTTACACATTCAAATTGTGAAAGAGTATAGAACAAATCCCTGGCATCACAGACTTCAAAATATAAAACAGTCTGGCTTAAAACAGTTAAGCTGGTAGAGTGAGTGTGAACACCTCCCCTTCACCCTCACCCTGTAGTACCTGTTTTGTCTTTTCTTGCTTAACACTTAGCCCACTGTCATTAAATGTGTCATCCCTAACGCACTGATTCTTTTAAAACAGAATGGAGATTTTTAGTGCCTGAACCTGCACTGCATGTTTTCATGTCTTTTAAGAATTTGGAATTGTGACTGTGGATGGGTTTTGCCTAAGCAGAGATACAATCTAGACTCTACAAATGTTCACTTTATGAAAGGGCTGGGTCTCCCTTTGATAAAAGTCTCTAATGGTTACTTAGAGGAACTTGACCCAGGAAGCATCTGGGCATGAGGGAAATGCCCCACCACTCTGCCCTCTCAATTTAGAAAGGCAGTTCTTCAAGTTAACGTCTGGTGCTTGGAAGTCCTAGGAATGAAATGGAAGTACTTGGTTGTCTGGTAGGCACTGACCCCTTCTAGGGCAGAGGTGAAAGTGCAATCAGTCTGGAAAGAGCTGGAACAGGGGAGCTGAGCCAAGATTAGCACTGGTGCCTCCAAAGGATCACACTGACTTTTGTGTCAGAGAGAGAAAGGGAGGTAAGAAAGCCAGGCCAGTGAAACGCAAGTGCCTCCAAGCCAGGAGATGCCCACAGAGTGGCCCCTGGAAATCTTGTCCTGCTAGAATTGTGTCTTGTTCAGCCCCAAAGCACCTCTCCTGTCTGTGTCTCATTCTTAGCAATGGGTGACGAGCCGGCAGATGAGATTTGAAGGTGGATTTCAGGGCCGCTGCAACAAGCTGGTGGACGGCTGTTACTCCTTCTGGCAGGCCGGGCTTCTCCCCCTGCTCCATCGGGCGCTGCATGCCCAAGGTGAGTCCTGGGGGCTGGCAGCAGGGCTGCGGTTCTTCCCCAGGGTGGTGGGAAAATCAGGAAGCCAGAGAGGGGTTTTTAGTTTAAGAATATGACTAAGGTTCACCCGAACCTAGCTGTGATATGAATTCGTATGCAAAAAGATGTACATAGCATGCGAAAGCTGTACCATGCATCAGGAAGACTGATGAAGAGCTGATGTCTCTGAAGAATTCATCAAGAAGACTGGAGTGTCCTGAATTTTGAACTCCCTGCTGCAGCCTCCTACTTTGGGCCATGCATTTGCAGAATAGGACTTAGTCCCACAGCTTTTTGGGTCTTTGCTATGTCAAACTGCCTGTGGTGGCCAGAAATGGTCTTTAACAGGTCCTAGGGCCCCATGCACAACAGAACAGAATGCTGCTCCCTTCTGTGCCATGGTCAGTTGGAAGTGGGACCACTGCAGTCCATCAGATTGTCGCTGACTGGTTTTCAGAAGTAGATCACCAAGCTTTTCTTCCTAATCTGTCTTGGGCTGCCTGTTCATATCACAGTGACAGGCACACTCCCACTAATGTATGGGTGGGACTGTGCTTGAGGTGCATTGGCTAAGAATCCAATCCGAGTCTCTCCCATGAGAGGCAAGAACTCCACTAACTGAAAGTGACCATGGCCCCCGTGGTCAGTGTGTACTCCCTCTATGCTGCTCTGAGGCTGCTGCTGCTTCTGTCACCAGGATGTCAGTGCCCTAGTTTTCCCTTCTCACATAAGCAAAAGAATCGCACCAAGCAGAAGTGACTAGAGGAAGGGACAGTGCCCAGGTACCGTGGTAGAGCAATGTACAGCAGTCTCAGGGCTTCCTGGGAGAGCAGACATTAGTTTTCAGAGCATTAAAATGTAGGCCAAAGTTTTTTGTTAGAGTAGGGACGAGACAAAAGTGAGGCGGCAAACATGAAGATAAAAAGTAAAGACAGATTGCTTATAAAGTTACATCCCTATGGTGTGGACCTCCCTCCTTGAAGGGAATTATGGAGGAGAGGCAGTGTGCTAGTGAGTGAGGCTCACTTTATGGCCCCCTTCTCTGGGTAGGCCTTTTGGGCCAGAGTCTGGGCCAATGAGACGATGCCATCCCTGTTCTCTGACATCCTCCATGCATCCAGAGTGTCGAGGCTTCTGACATCCCTCGTGTGTCCAAAGCACGAATCTATGCATGTCAGTAGCTGCTTCCTGGCTCTCATGAAACTTTTGCATCCTCTACATCATTGGTTCCAATCCGAACAACATTTATGTTACTTGCAAGGGTTGGTTTATCCTGCCCTGGTCCCATGGAGCTGGCCGCCTCAGCTGGTTGTGAGCGAATTCTCAACCCAAAGCCCTTTACTGGTCTTGTCAGAGCTGAGAATCTCCAATGTGTCCATGCTAACAGAGAGGTAAAAAAAGGCTATTGCTTCAAGAGCAGAGAACCAGGATCCACCCAGAAAAGACCTAGCATGGCTAGCTAGTTGCATAGCTGCTGTCTGCAAAAATGTTTTCTTTTACATTCACTGAACAAATGCTAAATGCAAATAACATGGTACGCTTATTGTTGGATTGGAATCTGAAATGGAGATGCAGAACCATCTCTAGTATGATAGTTATATGTAACAAGCAAACATTCTGGGAACAGTTGCCTGTTACTTCTTGAAATGTCAGGCTTCCTGCTAATTCCAGCATCATGATGAACAGGGCACCTCGGAGTAAGTCACTGGGAGAGGGGAGTTCATGGCTACCTCGCTTGTGGGAGGCCTCCATGAGACCCCAGGGGCCCTCTTTTGTCTGGATGTAGTAGTTGAGGAATTAGTTCTTTGAATGTTGAAGATGAGACTTTTTTCCTGCCCCTTTCCCCTTTTGTTCTAACTTGGCTGGTCTTCCTGAACCCATTTCTTTTGTTTTGTACTTGCATTTGGGTTCTTGAGTAGTGGCCGCCTTTGATGCTGAATTGAAGTAAACAGTCTCTGCTCTTCCTGTTCTCCCCTGCTGGGTCTGGCTTGAGATTTCTCTGACCCAGTCACTCTAGACTCAGACACTTTGGAGCCCTGGGCGTTTAGCCCTGGGGTCCTCCCAACTCAGGAGTCCCGCCCTCAGCTTCAGACTTGACAGCTAAAGGTTTACAATCCTCTAAAAGTACACTTTCCTAAAACTGCAGTAACTTATAGTTGTGGTGATCGCTTTACTTGGAACTGGTTGGGACTGGGCACCCGTAAAGCTTCCAGCCTTTTCTGTGCCTTTCTGTGGTCATTACAGGTGCACCTGGCAGGGAAATCTGATGAGTGCTCTGACAGGAGAGCTTTCTGTCACCATTTGCAAGGGGCCACTGCCTGACATTTAACTTATTACAGCCGCAGCTCTAAAGACTAGTCACCTTCTTTTTAAAAAAAATACTTTTATTTTATGTTGGTTTGCATACAAAACTCACATACATTGTGTTTCACACAAACTGTCATTCACATTGTCTTTCATAGGACCATTCCCATACATTGTGTTCTATAAAATTAATCACCATTGATCTGTGCCCCTATTACTCTGTCTTTTCCAATCCTCACTGGATCTTTTACAATTCCTTTACCCTCTCCCTCTGCCCACCAAACTCTGTGAACTCATGGTTTCCCTCCCTCAGCACCCTCAGTCTCCTGATTCCCTTTCCTACCCCTTTTGGACTTTTAGACACATCTCACTAGTTATCTTTCTGTTTTTACAATAACGGTCTTATATACAGTATTTGTCCTTATGAGACTCAATCAGTTCATCCAGCCTCTCTGATGTTCCATAGCATTTTCCCAGATTCTTTCTCCTAAGTGCTGCATAGAATTCCATTGTGTGAATGTACTTCAATTTCTTAATCGGTTCATTTGTTCATGGACTTTTCCATTTTCTTGGTAATTGTGAATAACGCTGCTATGAACATTGGCGTACAAATCTCCTATTTGTGCCTCAGTTCAGTCTTCCTTGGATTATATTCCTAGCTGTGGAATAGCTGAGTCATATGGAATTTCTATGGAAATAGGGAGTTTCTGTATTCAGCTTTTTGAGGAAACACCAAACTGCCTTCCAGAGTGGTTGTACCATTCTGTACCACCAGCAATGCGTGAGAGTTCATCCTCTCCAACAGCTATTGCTTGCTGTCCTATTAATCTTTGCCACTGCTGTTGGGATGAGATGGTATCCCATTGTGGTTTTGATTCACATCTCTCTTCTTGCCAGATATTTTGAGCATTTTTTCATGTGTCTGCTGCCTATCCAGATGTCTTCCTCTGAAAAGTCTTTCCAGGTCTTTTGCCTGTTGACCTGTTTTGTAATTAGGTGACCAGTCTTTTTCTTGTGGAAGCCCTGTAGTATTCTGTAAACTTTCATTATGAGACTCTTGTCTGAGATGGCATCACTACATGTTTTTCCCCAGAACTAGTCACTTTCAATGATTGTCTCCTTGTGACAAAGGCGGCCTGTGACTCTTGGGTTTCTAGCTCTTTCCCTGGCCTGGGAGAAGATTGTGTTGAACCTAAGGGGACACTTACCTCCTTCTGAGAATTGGTGGACCTGGAACAGACTGTAATCTAGATCAAAGGGAAGTGCATTGAGCAGTGGGCAAAATACTTATCTTGGAATTCAGAGGAGTTATAGAAAAGCATTCAGAGTATATTGTGATCAAAGTTAGGCTTCAAAGCAGAATGTGTACAATCCCATTTTCCAGTGCAGAGGCAACACATTGATAGAATTCTAATTATAGGTGGTGATAGTTTTCTCCTTTTTCTTATTTTGTATCTTTAATTTCCCTCCAGCTGCCATATATTTCTTGGAGGAAAGAGAAGGAAAATTTTTCTTTTTTAAGAAAAAAATCTGTAAATTAAAGACAGGTGAAAAGCTGGGGTAAGTATTTGTGATCTGTGATGAGGGGCTAATTTCTTTGTTTTAAAATATTCCTACAAATCAATAAGAAGAGAATGAACAACCAGTGGAAAAATAGGCAAAGAATCTGGACAGGTTCCATGAAATGAAGCCCTGCTATTATTAGTACTGCTTCTGCTACAGCTGCTGCTGCTGCTGTTGGCTGTCGACTTACCAGAACTCACTCACCATGTCCCGGAGACTGCACTGAGCAGTTCACACGTATTTTCCTCATTTCATCCTCAGCACAATCGTGCAAAATATATATGATTGCTATCCCCATTTAAGGCATGTGATTTGAATCCACAAGCTGCTCCGTGGGAGAAGGATGGGCAGTCTCCTTCTGTGTTATAAATTGCCTCTGGAAACCTGCTGGAGGGTCAGCTGTGAGTTGACTTTGACTCCACGGCACACGACAACAATCTCAGTTTTACATGTGGAGACACAAAGCACAGAGAGCGTAAGTGACTGATTGTAGCATCTGGCTGCCACGTAAAACAGTTAGTTGGCAGTTGTGCAGATGGGGTGGCATCAGAGCCAAGCTCGTAACCACTACCAAAAACCTAAAAACCCAATGCACTGCCATCGAGTTGACTCCATAAGAGTAACCACTAATCAAACAACAGCATGTTCAGCTCATTTGCAGTGATATAAATGCAAGTTAGAACAGTGAGGCACTGTTCATTTTGATTATCAGATTGGCTGAGGTAATAAAAGCCCAGCAGCAGCCTGTGTTGGGGACAGTGTGGGAAGCCAAGCACTTGTGTGCTATTAGTGGAGGTGTAAATTGGTGCATCATATTTTAGAGGGCTGTTTGGAGACATCATTTTAAATCATAAGGATACTTATCCTTTAAAACCAGCAAGTGCACTGTCAGGAATTTAACTATAGAGATAATAACAAAGGATGTATGTTGAAGTTTTAATAGCAAGACCCCCTATATGTCCATCCAAAGGTTAGCAGTGAAATACATTATGATCTGTCTATATACTAGCAGATCTTTATGAGCTGATATGGAAAACTATCCAGGATACATAGTTAAGGGTGGAAGGCAAGGCCCAAGGCAGTGTGCAGAGGAGCCGTCTGTCCATGTGCACTTG